GTGCCCAAACTGCAACCCAAATCCCACTTATTCATCGTTGAGTGCCGAGTGGGCGTGGCCCAGTGGGTGGGCGTGGCCCATTGGTTGGGCGTGGCTGCGGTGGTAATGGCAGACTGGGTAGGACTAGAAAGTTCAATCAATCAATTCCAACTTTGCAAGATCTTTTTTTTTCCCCGCGAGAAGTTGAAATTGACTGATTGAACTTTTTTTTTTTTTGCACATGGCGGAGACCTAAAGCGAAAAGGTTTTATAAAACCCAGCTGAAGGCCTAGGACTGGGGCGACGGCGCGCATGCCCACAGAGAGGGCTTTGAGTGCTGCCTCTGGCACCCGTGCCATAGGTTTGCTACCACTGTGTTAAGGTAATATGATGGAGCTGATTCTCTATTGATATGACAGTAGGGTATTTATACAGGTATGACTACAACTGAGTCCAAAATTTCTGTTGATAAGCAAGATATTTGTTAAGTGAATTTTGCCCCTATTTTACAGTTGTTAAATGAATCAGGCTTCCACATTGACTTTGCTTGTCAGAAGGTCGCAAAAGGTGATCACATGACTCTGGGACACTGCAACTGTCATAAATATGAGTCAGTTGCCAAGGATCTGAATTTTGATCACAGTCTTTGGGGATGCTGCAATAGTCGTAAGTGGCAAATACGGCCATAACTCACTTTTTTCAGTGTTGTAATTTTAAATGGTCACTAAATGAATTGATGTAAGTCAAGGACTACCTGTCCTTTGCTGAAATGGATTGTTTGTTTGTATTTATTTATCTCTTTCATTTTTTTCTTGTCTTCCCTTCACAAGTTGTTATATTATTAAAATATTTCTTGACAAATAGCTATGTTTTAACATTTTGAACTTTTGAAGTAGAGATCCTTCTATTGAGCAATCCTTCCAGTTTATACTTGAGTAAGCAATCCAGGATATAGCTTTAAAAAAAGAAAAGACTGAATTCTGTATTCAAGTTTGTGCCTATAATTTTAAAGTCATTTTGGGGCATCTAAATGAGTTAGTTGTGGTTTTCCTTCTTTGTGTATGAATAATGTACATTCTATATACACAGATGGAGCTGAAGATAATCTAATTCTATTTAATGAGCTCTTTTTTCAGTTATAAATATCTACCTCAAAATTGCTCAGTATAATAAAGTGAAAACATTTGCAGTACATACTGAAAATTGTAAAGTCTGAGATAATACTAATTTATCTGTATTTATGTTACCATACATTGCTTTGTTTGAGGTGGATTTTTTTTATCAAAAATCATGTGAGCTGTAGCTTGACAGAAATATAGAATTCTCTTAACCTAAAGTTTAGATAAGGAAAAGGAAATATTAACTTAAGTCTGTTGTAGATTTCTGGTTTGGACCCACCCTATGGCTTTACAAAGTTAATTAATATGAAAAAAGTTACACCCTTTTTTACTCCTACTTATTTCAATAAAATAAACGAGCAACTTGCCTAAACATCTTGGTATCTTTTATGATGTTGAACCTATGTGGGGACTACAGTATCTGTCTAATCAGTATCATCATATTGATTTGAATGGAAATCTTTATTTTTTATTGCATGAAATCATAAAATAAAACTCAAAACCCAAACTAGAAACCTCGGAGGAATCTAACTAGCAACTTGAAAATATTGAGAGGACTGTAGAATTTGTGTCAAATCTTTTTTGCATGCTACATTTTTTAAAATACTAACCCTTTTCTTAAGCACAACTGTTTTTTTGACCAGGTATCCTGAGCCCTGAAATGCTCTATTTAAATAACCTTCTCCAAGGTATATGGCTAATTTGAAATCCTGGAGGGAGTAGAAGAATGATGGCAAATAATTGCCATTATCGCTATCAAGCTACTTACTTGAGCATGTCCATAAAGTCACTCTGAATCAGTTTTTAGGTTTTAATTATGATAATTTGGGGCAGTCCCTTTTTCAGGCTGGGCTTATAAAATCTTGATTTGTTGGTTCATTGATCACCAAAATTTAAAGATATTATTTGACTATAAGTCTACCAGTCCAGCTTCGCCACCATTTCTTTTACTTTATACAGAAAATGGAAGGACACTTTGATTCCCACAATGGACGAATGGCTGCAAAAGTTGATGAAGTTAGCAGAGATGGCTAAATTGACTGCTTTGACTTAAAAAAAAAAAAACTTTTGTTTCTACTTGGAAACCGCTTCTGGACTTTGTGCTTGAGGTGAAAAAAAATGAAGCTTTGATTCTGGGTTTTACCGATTAGATAGATTTGTTATAAAAATGGCTAGTTTATACTATTATGTAAAAGTAAAACATTTGATGTTATTATCTTATTTTACAGCACCAAAGGGAGTTGGAAGTCAAAGCCTTTTCTACACTTTTCCCGTTTTCCTCCTCTATTTTTCCTATTATTTGGTTCTGTATTTTTGTATTTTATATTATAAAATAATAAAAAGCAATGCCTCATTAACCATTTTTAATTGGTCGTGTTTAATTACAATACTGAAGTTCTCAATTTCCTTAGTTTTCTTCATCTACTTAGGTGTTCTTATGGTATTAACAGTTGCTTAGTATTTTGATTGTGCTGTAAACAATCTTTTTAGGACTAAAGGGAAGGAATCTGAAAGATTATGTTATAAAGAAGAGTCATCTGCATTTTAGACAATGATACAATTAGTTTAGAATGCATGTGACAGGGTCCATGGTTCATTTTCCAACAAACTTGTCTTGTGTTTTGCCAAAGCTGAAGTTCAGAGCAGATATTCTTTTTGATGAGCTGGGGAAACTTTGAGCTTTTCTTATCTCATCAGATACACTACTCAGAAAAGGCAGCTACTTTTAACTACCAACTTGCTTTCTTGTTTTTATGTAAACTCTGAACCCTTTATTCAGCTGGAGATCCTTTCAAGAGCTTATCTTGCAAGACCTTGGTTCTTCAATGTCTTTCTGAAAATGTTTGGGAATTTTGCATTCATATATTTTGTCTCAGTAAACAAGAGAGCTCAGTTGTTCAATATCTAGCACATTGTATTGGATTAATGATGTCCCATGTGCTTTCACAGAAATGGGATATTAATCCGTAATGATCTTAAAACCATTTTTGTGACATTTTCGAATTGGCTGTCCTATTTCAGCACATTTTTTCTTGATTAGGTTTATTTTTCAGAGTGTTTCTTACCGTATATTATTATACAATTGCACATCCAGAAATAAATCCCACTTGGTTTAATGTGATTTTTGGATTATTTATTAAGCTTACTTGATTTATTATCAATGTAATTGTAGCTATTGTATTTACAGTGAAAGACACATTTCTTTATGCTGCAGCCAACAGCATGGGAAAAATGTCAGAAAAGTTTCTATAATTAATATAATATCTCCAGATCTTGGAGACATGATCTTCCGTTAGGCAATAATGGAATTCTAAAATTTGTTAGTACTATAAGCCTGTTTTCAGCTTAAAGGGCTTCATCTGGGAATATCTTTTGCAAAGTGGCCATTGAGAAAATGGCTATCCTACTTGGTATGACCTGTCATTAAATATGCATTTACCAGACTCCTAAGATATTGCAAGTTCAGCTGTTTCTACTCTGAAGAAATCACAGATGTGCAGGGTGGCACAGGATAGAAGATGTGATTTCACCCCTTCATCCACCAAGTTCACATGACCCACTGAATTATTTACTCCCAAATAAGCTATCATGAAAATGAACATGGCAGTGCACATTTCATTCTAGATATGTATAAGAAAATGGTAGAGACAATGCTTGTCAAACCAGGCAGAGGATTCCCTTTATTGTGCTATAGAGCACAGTTCTGCTGAGAGTTATTGTACCTTCCCTTTATGCTATTCAAGATTAGCTGCTAAGTGCTAATACAAGGAGAAACTAGGTTTAAAGTATGGTACAATAGTAAACTTGAAAAGCCTGGGGTAATGGTAACAATCCAGTGTCTTAAAAGTCTTGGACTTCAGCTATCATCGCTTTGCTCCTTAGCATTTGGAAGGCAGCATTTTCCTAATCAGTAGGGCATTGCTATTCAAAAATGTTTTTCTTTTTATATTGCCATCTGAAAATAGACAGATTTCATTGTCTATGTTGGGGAATAAAGAAGGCATCCTGCTGGAGCCAGTTATTGACTCATTATTATATTTAAATAATCATGAGTTCAACTGACATTTTTAAAAAATTGGTGCCTTTTAATTGGGATGCTTGTCCCTTGCAGAACTCCTTTGAGACACTGACTTATGAATGAAAGTTTCAAAATTCTGGTTTAATGCTGGCAACAAACATGATGAAGATTTTCTCTTCAAAACGTTTTTGACATTTTTATTTATATCTACATATTTTATTTATATCAACTGAGCAATGTGATCTAGTGCTTGCCTCCCACTCGGAAGGTTGAAAGTTCAATCCTAGGTAGCAACAGATATTTCTCTATCAGGGTGCAAAGAGAAAATATCTGCTGCGAACTCTACGTAGGCATCAGGAAGGGCATCTGGCTAGTAAACACTTAACTCCAGCCAGTCACCCCAACCTACCTCGAATTAAGGGATCATAGGGTCATAAAAAGGGAGTATTTTTATTTTATTTATATCAATTATATTTTCAATGGTTCCCAAAGTTGAGATTACAGTTCATGGAATTTTGACTACTACTTTGTAAATTTCGATCTGTATATTCATTTATTACTAAACCAGAATTTTAAAAGCATGGTTTATTGAAGTATATTTGTGCACAGGCCATTGTCAATAAATTTGCTTATTAATATAAAATGTACAATAAATAGCCCCTTTATGGCTAAGCTGATCAGGCCATTGAAAATAAAGTATATTCAGGCCTTCTATATTTATAACAAAGAATGAAATGCAGTAGTATAAAACTAAATTACAGTTGACTTTTTGTACAGTTGTTCAAGTTTTGCATTGAAAAATGCTTTCTAAAAATATTTTCTGATAGAAAAAAAACTTACAAAGGAACCACAATGTTGTTATTTTCTTTTTCTAACAAAAACAGATTGGTTCCCTAGCCGGAAGATGTTGTTTAAGATAAAGATCTTAGCATCCTTTACCATGGCTGTCTTCACTGTGATTGGTGGCAGAGGGATAATAAATATTTGTTTTGCCATAATTTTACTGGTTAGTACATTTTTATTCCCTTTATCTGTTTATTTTTTTTATTTTTTTTCATTTATTCTATATTTTAGTTAATGATGACCAACTTGAAAAACGCTTTAGTGCAGGCATGTCAAACTCGTGACGTCACGTGACGTCACACAATGTACCACGACTTTTCCCCCATTGCCGGCAATGGGGTGGATGTGGTTTCAGTATGATGCATCCGGCCTGTGGACTGGCAGTTTGACATTCCTGCTTTAGTGGAAATTCAGGTTGTGAGTCAAATGGGTACTACATAAGGTGATTTTTGAATTGTGACCTTGTTAACCATGAGTTGGCCAAGCCTTTCTTCGGCCTCAGGGGCACATCTGATAGAACTCTTGCCAAAAGTGCACTCTCATGCAGGGACTTATTCCCTGTGAATCCTCAAGATTTACTACTTGATGAGATTATGTCTATGCTGACCCAATGAGAAACCCTTGATTTAGTTGTTGGCAGTGGCTATCTTGAAAGAGGACTCTAGTCTATTGTGTCTTCGCCTAATCATTCCAGTTCAGACAGCTGAATGGATTAAAGGTGGCAAAGGTCACTGTAAGCTCTTGGCTATCTTAAGATTGGCAGGAAAAGCACCATTGGATGGGTGTGGCCATAAGACTTGCTTGCCAATTCCTCCACTTAGTTCTGATTTTTCTAGTTCTTTGAACAGTTCTAAAAGTATAACTTTATTTAAAGAACTGGGCAGAACAGAAACCCTCAGTGGAGGAACAGTGATTTTTTTTACCACATGTTCTCAAAAGAGAAGACACAGCAGAGGAGAACAATGGTAGATCACATTACCATAATTACAAGTGAGCTGAGTTTCTTTAGCTGGCTTCCTAGAAACATCTGTTCCACTTGCTGTGAGGTATTCAGTAAGTCCTGGGCCAATTACCTGTATCAGTTCTGTTTCTCTGTCTCTTTGGTTTATTATAGCCTGATGTTTCATTTCTCTGACGCAGAGAGTTTGCATGTTTCTTGCCATTTTCCTCCCAGCTGTCTTATCTGGATGATTTCAATGCCTGCTTTCTGCACTGAAAATAATTAGTTTTAGCCCTTCTGAAACTTTTTTTTTTTTAAATCTGCCTTTGGAAAATGCAGCAGATGTATATCTCCTTTTATTTAATCTCATCTCATTGTTTCCTGTCTGAAAAGTTTAAAAAACAAAAAAGGATAAATATATGTGTGCATAAATAATGGGATACATTTTGCCTCTTCTTCTCTTAATGGGACTGGGGAGATCCAGCTTTCTTGGATAAATAATATAGCCAAAGTTTTCAATATAAGGCTTTTTCCAAGTGCATCTGTGTCCCCCCTACTAACGTTGGCTCAAATCTCAGGAAATTAGTTTTTTGAAATGGGAATGTCAAATCTCATAGGAGATTTCAGCAATCTTGCTGAGAGAGAGAGAGATGCCTGAAAAGATTGCTAACTCCTGCAGTAGAGAATGAGCTTCCTTCTTCCTCTAATTTTTTAAATTGCAGACCTCTCCCAAATAAAAAACAAAGACTGCCATCATCACATTTTTTTTTTAAAGTGCTACATTCATTATTGATATCCTAGAAGTAACAAAAGAGCTTTTCATGGAGTTTGGGAAAGCAAAAAAATCTGGTGCTTCTAGATATGAGATTCCATTGTGCATTAACACCAGACTAGTGTTCTCTGCTCAGCAGCTGGGAAGTTTAACTCACTGGTAACTCCCTAAAGACAAAAATTCACAGGAAAAAAAGTAGTTTGCCAGCTTTGGAAGAAGAAAATGTTCTCACGTGAATAAGTCTGTTGAAAGTAGGTGAGGCCTGAGCTTCTCTGGAATCAGAAATATTGTGCTGAGAGAACTGGAAGGGAAATGGAACTAGACTATATACTGAATTTATATTAAAACTGGAAGTTTATTAAGTTCAAGCTTAACTATTTGCATAACTTTTAGGTCAGCAGTTAGAATATTGTGTGCAATCTTTATTTTCTTATCAAGCTTCTCTTTTTTAGCTTCAGAGTCTAACCTGCCACTTGCAGCAGAAAGTAGCAGACCATTAATACATTCATTAAATACAACCACTGAAAATGAACTAGAAGTGGTGGGAAAAAGTAGAGAGAGGAAGATAAAGGGCTGTTCCTTACTCATTGCACCGACTACTGTCCATATTCCTGGTGGGTCTGGCATCTGTGGCCTTGAGTCTAGAAGACTGTAACAAATATTTGGATAATGTCTGAGATTATCCAAGTTGAGATTCCAGCTAGTATTAGACAAACAACTCCACCTATCAAATCTGTTGTTCACTTTAGTTTTCTCCCTGTGTTTTTCTTTGTTTGGGGATCTAGCAAGACCTGGAGTAAACTTGAACAATATGGAAGGAAAGTGAAGAGTATAACTTTTTGTCCAGTAAGGCCTGCTAATATGGGACAAGACATTGTGGTTTGTTTTAATCATTGCTAACAAAAAAGTAGAATTGCTTGTTTAACAAAATAAGCTTAGGATCCTTGGTAAAATATTTGCAGGCAGCAGGGTGCTTGCGTGCACTTGTGTTGCAAACATTCACATTTACTTGCTGTCTGAATTTTGTTTAGATTCTTTTAATGAACTGCTATAAATGGAAATTGCCCTGATATGACCAAAACACCAGAATTATCTTCCTTTACAATAATTATTTGGGTCTCATTGGCATTTTTAGAAAATAAAAGTGCTTTGTTTTGAAGACTGCTGAGCCGACAAGAAAGGGAAAAAAAGCTTGATAAATTGAGCAATGATAGGAAGCATCTGGGTAGAAGGAATAACAGGGAACAATGTCTTTTCTTCTCATTTGATAAATTAATGTTTGGTAACAGATGATATCGAGATTGAATTTGGGTTTGGTTCCCAGGACCAGAGATTTACTCTGTTACTGGTGACCGGCCCAAATTTAATCTCAAATCATTATCCTGAGACACATATATTTGTCTTCATTCATGACAGATGATATCTATCATGATAATAATTTTGTTCGTGTACCTACAACTTTCCAAATGTATTCACCACTCCAAAAAGGTTGTGACTATAATAGTTGTAAAGCATAATCATCTTCAAATATTTCTTGAAGCCAAAATCCCAAATCCACAATAGAATCTTTAATTTAGTGTAGTTTTTGTAATTGGGCAAAATTTCAGGTCTTTGCCAAATTGTGACCTTGTGCTAACATGATTCATTCTGCCTGATGTCTTATGGTTCGGTAACAACTTCAGAAACTGCCACAACTATTCCCAAATTATCAAATGTTTAGAAGGAAAGATCAAACTTATTTTTTCCTTGGACCATTGCAAGGCCAGTGCTTGTCTGTACAGTGTTTTGTAACCTGAATGAAACAAGCAATACTTGGAAATGAAGTAGACACCCAGTGGCCAAAATCCTCTGGAACAATGGCTATTCTAATTGTGAAAGGCGAATAAGATACAAAAATAATTCAGTCCTCAAAGTGTTATTTAGGGACAAAAGAACTGGCAACATAAAATGGATGTATAAAAACCAAAATTGTAATGCTGGGCAGAGTAATTGGGAAAATAATTCAGTAGAGAAACATAAACTAACAAAATGCAATGCTATACAGGTAGTCCTTGACTAATGACCACAATTGAGCTCAACATTTCTATTGCTAAGTGAGACATTTGTTAGGTGAGTTTTGCCCTATTTTTACAACCTTTCTTGCCACAATTCTTAAGTGAATCATTGCTGTTCTAAGTTGTTAAATGAATCTGGCTTCCCCATTAACTTTACTTGTCAGAAGGTCGTAAAAGTTGATCACGTGATCCTGGGACACCACAATCATCATAAATATGAACCAATTGCCAAGCATCCAAATTTTGATCACATGATCCAGGGAATGTTGCAATGGTTGTAAGCGTGAAAAACGGTCCTAAGTCACTTTTTTCAGTGCCGTTGTAACTTTGAATGGTCACTAAATGAACTATTGTAAGTTGAGGACTACCTTTATTGACTTGTACACGAACCATTAAAATGGAAAATATATCTGATATGACTTGGAAAAATAACATATACATCTGAGTTCTTGATTTTGAGACCATTGAAGGACAATAATTATATATGTAGTGGAAGGCTGACAATTTATCCAAATTTTCAAATCCTAAATCCATATCCCTAAACTGTGATTATAGTTATAATGGTATGCATGTTATCATATTTGTAAGCTAGAAAGATGGTGCTTATAAAATTCTTTGGAAGTACTGATAGTACATATACTACATTTTCTCTATTTTTTTAACTGCAAAAATCTTTATATTCTATTTATGATTCTTGACATTTTGCAGATGAAGGGTTAATTTAGAATTTAATTAAAATGCCAAAGTATAATGTCCAAGTTATAGGTAAAATATTATTATTCTGTCAAATGTTCTAGGGCAGTGTTTCTCAACTTTGGCAATTTTAAGATCTGTGGGCTTCCACTTCCAGAATTCCCAGCCAACAAGGTTGACTGAGAAATTCTGGGAGTAAAAGTCCACACATCTTAAAGTTGTCAGCCTTGAAAAATATTGTTCTAAGGATAGACATGAAAATAAAATTCATGTAAAAACCTTACCATGACTATAGGAACACAAAGGTGTTTTTCAGTTTCAGATTTCTGCTAATTATATAACATGCAATTTTCATTTCTAGTAATGGAAGAAACCTTTGTGTAATTTCTCCTCCTACTTTACTGCAAGCATAACCAGAATCTATCATAATCTAATTTATGATGTGGATAGTACTTTGTTCAATGTATTGATAGACCCCAATCTGCATAAGAACCCATAAAAAGCCGATTACAGTTAAAATGTAAAACACACAATCATAATAACAGAGTTAATAAATTGTGAAATATTAAATAGGGTCAAGACATTACCTGTTTAAAGAACAACATATTAAATATAACCATACACAATAGCAAACAATTATTCCTTGTAAAATCCGCAGAAAGTTATCAGAGGGAGCCGTGGTGTTTTCGTTGGAAGAAGACAAC